TACCCAATTTAGATCCGTAAAAACAGTTTCAGTTCTAAGGATTACCTTTTATTAAATAACAAGTGCACATTTGACATCCATCTCGCGTGATGGAAAGCGAAGATGAGCTCGATGATGGAGCATGTACACCTAAACAATGCCTATTCACTCTCGCCTTGATACGGCCCAAGTTATACCGTTCAGGGAACAAATCTGGAGGCAAGAAATTCCACGCTATAGCCGGTCGCCATACAAATCGCAAAACGAAACGCCTGGAGTCAGCCTTTTCATATACCTATAACTTGCGGCAGAAATTTGTAAGGTGGCAGTACTTCTCTGGACGAACTCTTTCATACGGAGCTTTATTCGTACTAAAAGTTTAAAGGTTGTAGCTTTTAAATATGTATACGTAAGGATTAATGGGGATTAGTGAAATAAAACCGCACAAGTAAATTAAACGGGCTTTTAATATAGGCGAATATTAAACATTTTTATTTAATATAAATCCTAAATTTATCAGCAATTTACAGGTAAAATTCAGCGAGTTGTGTTGTATAGACGATTGAATTAAAAAAAATTAATCGACGATTGTTAATCATGCATAATATGAAATGTGAAAGTATCTTGAAAGGATATTTAAAAAAAGATGCGCTAAAACAATCAAAATACCCTATTAATTTTTTTTAATTGTTCGAAAATTTTACGTAAATTTATTTTTAATTAAAAATTAATAATGAAAACAAGCGATCTTTGGTAATAGCGACTAAAATCTAATAATTAATCTTAAGTTACTACATTTTTCTTAACAAAATTCCCATTTATTTTTAATCAGGAAGAAATGGAATGTATAAAAAAAGCAATGGCTCTTAGTAGTGTGACCCAAATATTATATTAGAAAAACGGGACAGACAGTCAAATATTAAATAATCATAATTATATTTTTTTTATTAAATATTTCATATTCATTCTCACATTCTACTCTGTATTCATGAGATAAGTCAATTTCTTTTGCGATAGTTTAACTATAATTTATACAAGGTAGTTAAATTGACATAGTATTATAGAGGTCCTAAATATAAGTTTACAATATAGACAAAATCTGTATGTTACACAACCTGGTACACAAACAGGACCATCTGATGGTACAGTCGATGCTCTGAAGATACTTGACTCACTAACTGACCTTTTGGTTCTGGAAGCCTTCTAACGCATTCAAGTGTAGAGAGAGTCTAGCTTTTTGGTTGAAATTTGTATTTATGTAATGTAATTAAAGATCAATTTGGTTTAAAAAGTTTCTTAAAACATCATTCACTAATAACACATTAAGGAAGTCATATCAAAATGAATTTTATGATTAACTGCCGAAACGTTAAGTTTGTTTAACACTTTTCTTCACTCTGATTTACTCAGAACCAAATAAACAATTAGGCGGTCAGGTATCTTGTGTGTTTACCATCATTTAAAGATTCCGAGAAGTCGGTCATGAGGAATTAACTCTTAGGTCAGTTTACCATTAATGGCGGTGACTCTCATCAGGAACAATATATTCTCAAATTACATTCTATAATAGTTGTTTTTAGTAATTTCCATGTTACAGTTCATTCTAAGCAGTAAGGCATTGCGTATTTTCTTTCAAAACTCATATTTAGAACGTATCACTGTAGAGAATTGACATACCACCACGATTACACACTGTACGTACTAATTTTATGACGTCAGTCCCGACTTCGTAAATAAGATTTAATTTATCAAATGTTTCGATAAGAAATAATAAACAATATCGAAATTATTAAACAAACTTAAATAATCATAACAGTCTGCCTATAAACCTCGGTAGATGGCGACACAAGTATTACGTCAATCATTTTAATATCATGCTTTGATAAGAGAGCCTAAAAAATAAATTTAACTTAATACAAGAGAAACAACCTTTCTCTTGAAATTCTAGTTTCCAATAAACGTCGAGTTTCTCTTTTTTAGTGGTTTACTTGTACTTTATTAATTCAAATTGTGAGAGTAAAACTTTATCACTGATGTCCGAAAGGTGGTCGGCGTGCAGATGTCAAATTGACCCGTTAAAGTTCGTATAAGATAACAAATAAACAAAAATATGAAGTCAGAGACTATCTCGTCTTATTAGCTGCGCTTAGGCAGTTTAGTTTTGAACCTCTTTGCGAACCTTGTGGCCACGGAACGAGGCCTGAATCTTGGTGGCCGCCTTGTTCAGATTCGGGTCCTCCATGTCGATCTTCTCTATGTCTTCCTGAAATAAAAGAAAAGAAAATAATTAGATATTTATTTAAGCTTGACATTATTGCGACTTATTATTTTAAATGTATATAATTGAATAAAATATTTTAATAATTAAGATAAGTACACTAAAATTGTGGTAAATTTGCATGCTATTACTAGCTAAGTGTGAGAACCTGTTAATAGAAATATATGTTAATTCAACTATGTAACTGGGAATAAATTATTATTATTATAAAAAAAGTGAAATTACTACTTGTTGTCTGGTACACGTGACACAGTTAACATTTTTCTTAACATTTATTTAACCCTTAAACAAACGCAGTAGCAAATCAGCGCCTTGTAAAAGAGTTCATCTGGGGAAGTATTGCCACCTTACCTATTTCTGCCACCAAGCAGTAAGGTTTACATTACTGTGTGCCGGTTTTGAAGGGTAAGGGGTGCTGGTGAAGTTACAGGCACATGGGACTTGTCAAGTCATGTTTCAGGGTAACGGGCGCAGTGGCAGTGCTCCTCAGATCTTTGCGATTTAAAGCTCTGAGTGTGCCATGGATAGGTGTGTCGCTCACCACCAGGTGCTCGACTTTTTCGTCCCTTCACTTGACATCATAAAAAATGAAACATTTCGTCGCTTTGGTGAAACTAACTAAAAACTAACTGTTACTCAGATTAGAGACACAATTTGTAATCAGGGAACTGTAGCAAAAAAAAAATTCAAGTTATAAATCACTTCTTTTCACACATCAGGTAAAGGAATGTTAAATTGCCTATTGCCAACACAAAGCTTCGCAATTTGAGCAATCGACTACCGATTCCTACCATTTATATATACCATTTGCCGCTATATCTACCATCAATCTTCCGATAGGTGGCGATTAGCTAAAGTAACGGGTGGGAAAATTGCACTTCGGAAAATTGAAATTTATTTTTTTTAAACCGGGTGCGACCTGGTTAATAACAGAGAATGTTATACTTTAGAAACTGTTAAATGATGTCAAAAGCAATCAATGACACAACAAATTACACCAGTACGTTTTCAGGTTGCACAACGTAATTGTTGTTAAAATTTTACATCTCTTGCGAGTATATAAAATATTTTTTCTACTCCTGTACTTTTTAATCTATCAATTATAATTTTATAGACCACACCACATAGGCGCTCTTTTTAGTTCTGAACCAAAATTGTATTGTCTGTGGTACTCGCTAATAAACTGAAAAAATTCAAAGGAGTTTCAAAAATGTCGTAATTTGGCTAATTAAAAGAGTCTCCTTAAATGCGTCACTATGTTTCTGAACAACATAACGTCACTATATTTGTGAAATTATTAAAATTCTGAATATTTTAAATAATATCTTAAAATGTTACATGCAAAAGCGTAACCATTTGGCAAAAACGAACAATGTAAAATACGAAATATTCCCAATATTTTACGCTACTCATCATATACGCATTTGTTAAAATATAAGCGGTACTTGGCCAATCACGGGCACCATTTTATTTCTGAGCGTTTTGTAGCGTTTGTTTGGCTTTCATTTGAGTTTATTGTCGTGATTTGTTAACAAATAATCTTTAAATATTGGTCGTGTTTCATTATTTTCATTTACTCGCAGAAAAATTGTTGTATGCAATCATTACATAATTTAGTCTTAAAACCTTATACCTATTATATGGTAGTCGACTTTGAGAAACCTCTTATGCTACGATTGCATAAAAAACTAAGAGTAACGTGTACTACAAGTTACACAAAGAAATTAAATATGACCGTGAAGAATTGATACTGCATTGATTAAAATTTTTACGATTTTCACACATTATTTGATTAAAAAAACTGTTACTTAATTATTTTACGCCTGAGACATAAGTAAAGAAGTCCCATGTGCCTGTAATTTCACCAGCACCCTTCAAAACCTGAACGCAGTAATACTGATGCAGTAAACCTGAACATTACTGCTTATCAGCAGAAATAGGTAAGGTGACAGACAGTAAATCCCTGGATGAACTCTTTCAGAAGGAGCCCCACTGTACTCCTTAGTGGTATCATATATCATATATTTGCACGATGCCCATATTTCATTGTCACCCTATATCACAAATTCACTTCCTACTTAACGTGTGTGATGAGTTTCGCTGGACATCCTATTTAATGTGAGTAGGAGTGTCTGTGTGTGACGCAGTTAAATCTTAGACTATGGGAACCAAAGGACATGTTATACTGACATATATAAATCAGACGTTATATGTATAAGATGCATTTAGACAAAAATTTTTTTGTCTTTGTTGAACTACTGCGTGCCGTCGTAAGCCAAAAGTGATAGCACTACATTAATTTATGTCGAGAATCGAAAATACGTAACGTCATCTTAAATGCCAACTGGTGCCTTACCATGAACTCTTATTACAGTTCAGTATAGGTTCGTAACGCCAAAAAAGTGGGATGGTGATATACACTTCATGTAGCGCTGTCTCACTACGATTCATTTTAGGTCCTAAACTAGATCGTAATAAGAGTTCATGGTAAGGCCCCTGTCCTCATTTTGCCATTTTTGTAGTACCCTTTGAAAACCGTTTCCGGTTGTCAAAGGGAAGTACATCAGATGTCAAAACCAATGTTTGGCCAAATGTTTTAGTGAATTATTCGCATGAATTGCAATAAAATGGACAAAAATATTGACAGTGAGAACAATTAAGTATTGATAAAAATGCATCGTTGCAGCATTAAGGGGTGCGGCAGTAGAAAAAGCGGAAATCAACCGAATGTTACATTACACCGGCGTGTGTTATTTTCTGCCTATAAATCATATAATAGCCCAAATATGTCATGTAATTAGACTCATTTAAGTAGTTTATTCATAAGTCTTGCCGAATTTCGCTTTGGTTACTTTAGATTGCCTGTTTGTAGTATATTTTGATGAATGTTGATTTTGATTTTGACTATTATTTTGAGATAGTGTCGTTCTTGTAAGCAGACATAGTTTCGATAATCTGTTATTAAAACAATTCACTACGAGGTTTTTTATTTCATTATTATTATTTTTAACGTTTACTTACAAATCGAAAAGGAAGGAAAGAATGGTAGGAAATTATAGGACTGCCGAACAGAATTGAATTGCAGAACCGAATTGGATCAATTACCATCTTCGTTTGTTTGCTCCATTTTGAAGAGTCAAATTTTAATAGAACTTTGAATGTAACTAGATTACAAGCTTGTTACATAGGCCAACCTTTGGTAAAAAGCTGAGATTGCATTAATATATTTCAACATCGATTCCAGCACGCAGCGATCAGGCGCCGCATCAGCAATATCAATATACCCGAGTAACCTAGTTTATAAAATGTATTATTAATTATATTTTATTTTTTGGCATTGTGATTCTAACATCGAACGCAAACACTTGTAATTTAGGAATAATTCCAATTAAATTTTAGGTTTTTAAAATCTTTTTGGGTTTTTGAAGTCCTCCGGCCGCAGCCTTCGTAATTGGCGCAGTCGGTAGGATAGGAGAGGATACTTGAATAGATTAGCGTAGGACATTTCTAACATCGATTTGTACCACCACATCGCTACCGCCGCGAGCAATCGCGTCGCCGTTCGAGTATCCTGAAAAGAACCTGAGGCCAGCGGCTGGGAGATCGAAGAATCCAGACGTTGATTCGCAGAGAACCAGAATGATATATATGTAAGTCAAACAAGTACATTGAATTATCCTGTGTTGCTTGTCCTTTTTAATCTGTAATGTCCTTAGTTTCCTTTTAATGTAAAATTAATCCTTTCAAAATTTTTCACGCTATAGAAAGGTATTTTAGTAAATTCACTACATCGAGTAGGAATGCACGAAGGCAAGCAGTAGATAATTTTAGGAATTTAGAAATAATATTAGAAGGAATTAAAATGGCGAATCCTCCACTAGATCCTGAAACAATTTTCAAAATATTAAGACCTGTACCAGAGTTTGATAGGAACCCGAATGTTCTCACACGATTTATTAATCTCTGTGATCAGATTTGCGCAGCTTATCTCAGAAATCCACCGGGCAATGAGCTGTCTAATCCTTGCTTAATTAACGGCATATTGAATAAAATTACTGGACCAGTCGCACAAATTCAAATGGCGTTCCAGACAGCTGGCTTGGCATTAGAAACTCTTTATTATATAACTTTTCGGATCAAAGGGACGAAACGGCCCTTTACAATGACCTGTCTGTTGCCACGCAAGGAAATAAGGTCACCTCAAGAATTTTATGATCGCATGAAGCAATTGTGATTACTATTGAGGCGAAGCGCATCCTGTATAGGAAATTGGCTATGCAGGCATTTGTACGTAGGTTAAGAGAGCCCTTAGGTTCTCGCATCAGGTGTATGCGCCCCGATAGTATCGAAAAAGCTTTGGAATTTGTGCAAGAAGAGACAAACATAATGTACGTGCAACAGAGAATCGACAATACGTCAGAAAGGAAATTCAACTCAAATAAAAATGTTCAATTGGCACCCCTGTTCATGCCGCCAGTACAAAAACCGTTTGCTCTACCTGCACCAATGCCTACGACTATGAATGTACCTTTTCAGCGTCCACCACTTCTTCAACAATCCTGGGAACCAAATACTTCAAATTTTCAAATGAATAGACCTCTTCAAGGTCCCCCTCGCACTCAACAGATGTTTCGCGCCCTGCCACCAAACTATAACCACCTAGAAATCAACCCTTTAGTTCAGGCTCTAAGCCTATGAGTGGCGTGAGTAATTTTCAATCTAGACAATTAATGCCAAATATATAATAGTTTCCATAATGGTCATAATTGGATGAAATCAGGTAATACACCACCCAGTAATTATTTCAAATCCCGTGAATTAAATTTGAATGAGTGTTCTGGTTATGATAATTATAATTAGTACCCTGAACTTTACTTTGACCCTGAAACTTACTATTATTATCCCAAGAATCCCGATTATAATGACTACAATGTTACGACTTATGACAGTGACTACCAAGCGCATAATTTGACTGAATCCGTAGACGACAACATCTGTGAACTTAATCAAACTTATCCCTCTATTTGCAATAACCCCGCGCAGGATTTTCCACCAGTATAACCTACAAAAAAGCCAAAATAGAAGTTAATCTTCAAACGCAAAGATAACTTCCATTTATTCAAATCTCTAATCCCACATTGAAGCTTCTTATTGATACTGGAGCAAACCAGTCGTTCATTAACCCCGATGTAGTTCAAAATCATTACCCTCATATACCCCTTAATATAGACCCGTTCGAAGTTACCAATGTACACGCGACCACGCGAGAAGACTACTCTATTAATATACCTTGTTTCCCAGAATTCAATGACCGCAACGATATTAAATTATTTTTGTATAAATTTCATAACTATTTCGATGGTTTGATCGGGTTGGATTTATTAGAGAAATGGGAAGCAAAAACAGTTTTTACTAGACTCCGAGAATCCAATTTTAAAATTCAAATGAACAAATCCGAATTTTTAAGATTGGAGACTGCGTTTCTTGGCCATGTGATCGGCAGAGACGGTATTAAACCGAACCCCGACAAAGTAGCAGCCATAATGAAGTACCCTATTCCTAAAAGCCCTAAGGAAATTAAGCAATTCCCAGGCCAAGTAGGATACTATAGAAAATTTATCCCCGATTTTGCTCATCTCATTAAACAATTAACTCGATGTGTAAAAAAGGAAAGAAAGGTATATTAGATAATGAATATATTAACTGCTTTGAGAAATGCAAAACTCTATTGACTAACGACCCGATATTACAATTTCCAGACTTCGATAGAGAATTTCTATTAACGACAGATGCTTCTAATGTGGCCATAGGAGCCATACTCTCTCAAGGACCCGTAAGATCAGATAAGCCCGTGTGCTAATCCCCCAGAACTCTGAATGACAGTGAATGCAACTACAGCACTATAGAGAAAGAGTTGTTAGCAATTGTATGGGCTACTAAATATTTCCGACCTTACCTATTTGGTCGCAAATTTAAGGTACTCACAGACCACAAACCCCTACAATGGGTAATGAATCTAAAGGAGCCTAACTCCAGATTAACTCGGTGGAAGCTAAAACTTAGTGAGTATGACTTTACAGTAATTTACAAAAAAGGTAAAAACAATACAAACGCCGACGCCCTCTCCCGAGTTGAAATACATAATGAAGAAATAAGCTCTATTGTAGCCAACCCCTCAGAAAAACCACCATCCATTGCTAATAACTCAAGTACAGAAACAGTTCATACTAGTCTAGAGCACCCAATCCTTGAAGTTCTTATTACGGATGAGCCTTTAAATAAATTCCATAGACAAATTGTTATGACTATTGTGGGTGACTTAAAACGCAGACCAACTGTGACAAAACCATTCGAGACCCACACGCGGACTTCCGTACAGATTTCTGAAAATAATTTGGTAGAAGATGTAGTGAAAACCATCAAAGAGTATGTAAACCCTAAAGTAAATACTGCCTTATTGATAATTCCACCTCTCGGAATGTATGACATCATACCAATAATTTAAAATCACTTTAAAAGTTCAGCTATGAATCTTGTATTAGCAAAAACCGAAGTTGAAAACGTCAAGGAATATTTACGACAGCAGGACATTATTAAGAACTACCATGATGGAAAAACCAATCACCGTGATATAAATGAATGTTTCCTAACTCTTTCTAAAAGATATTTTTGGCCTAAGATGAGGGAACAGATTACTAAATTCATAAGCGAATGCACTATGTGTGGTCAGGCCAAATATGACCGAACCCCTATCAAACAAAGGTTCAACATTGTACCTCGTGCAACCAAACCATTTGAAATAGTCCATCTAGACCTATTTACCGCACAAAATGAAAAATATTTAACTATAATAGACGTTTTTTCAAAATACGCTTAAGCCTACTATCTCCGTGACGATTCAGCTCTTAGCATCATTCAAAGCTTACTGCATTTTTGTACTCACCATGGTCTTCCATTAACGTTAGTGACTGACAATGGAACGGAATTCACGAACCAATTATTTACCGAATTTACCCAGCTACATAAAATACAACATCATAGAACTTTACCTCATTCACCCAATGACAATGGCAATATCGAAAGAATCCATTCCACTTTATTAGAGCATCTACGTTTATTAAAATTACTGCAAAACATAATAATAAACTGTAATAAACCTTATGCCATATGCCATTTTAGCTTATAACAGTTCAGTACATAGTTTTACGAAATGCCGACCGTAGGACATAATTAACGGACATCTCGACCCACGAGATCCTACTTACATTGACTTGACCAAACACCTACTACAATAATATTCACAAAACCACAGAGACTAAATGAAAACCGTTTATTAAATAATAAATGAATCATCGCTAGCTGACCGTACCATCCTAATTGAAAATCGTAGTAAAGACCGCGAGTCTGAGATTGAATATGAACCCCAACAGCAGGTGTTCATTAGCAACCCTTTTGCTAGCCGCCAGAAGCTCACACCCCGCTACACTCAAGATACAGTCCTAGCAGATTTACCTATTCATATTTACACGACTAAAAAACGCGGTCCTGTAGCTAAATCTCGATTAAAGAGAGTATCTAAATCGGCTAAATTGTTACAGAATCGTTCTAACCCTAACCTTGTAGACGGTTTAGGTTCCATTATTAAGAGCATCTCAGGTAATCTCGACTATTTAGATGCTGCTAAATACGATGATGTCATAAAAGCTCGCCAGAATAATCAATTAAAAATTACAGATGAATTTAACAATCATATTAGTATCAGTAAAGATTGGATGGCACAACATAGTAGTATAATATCTGAAATAGTTAATAATCAAAATAAAATTAAGTCTACATTAGAATCCCTTTTGAAGGAAGATGCCTACCGAGAACCAAGTATAATTAAATATACCAAATTTGCCCAACTGTTAACAATTATTACAGAAAATACTGACGATATTCTAGCG